TGCATGTTTGGACACAAAACAAATCTCATAAACTTAAAAGGACCGAAATCATAACAAGTATATGGTATCCAAACACACTGGAATGAAATTAGAAATCACAAGGAAAGAAACTTGAGTAATTAACAAATACATAGAAATTAAACAATAAACTCTTAGATATGTAAGCAGTGTATCAAAGAAGAAATCACAAGGGGAATTAGAAAATACTTCAGGATGAAACCAAACAAAATCGCTACAAAAACTTATGAGATGCTACCAAAACAATGCTCAGAGGGCAATTTATGTAAACGCTTATATTAGGAAAAGACCTCAACTCAATAATAAAGCTTTTCACCATAAGAAACTATAAAGAGAAAAACAAACTAAATCTAAAGGAAGCAGAAGGAAGGAAATAAAGAATAAAGCAGAAATAAGTCAAATAGATGATTTAAAACACAAAACAAAAAGAAATTAATGAAGCCAAAAATTTGTTCTTTGAAAAGATCAACAAGATTGGCACACCTTAAATTAGACTAGCCAAGAAAAAAAAAGAAGCCTCAACCTATCAAAGTCAGGAGTGAAAGATGGGTCATTAATACCAACTCTACAGAAATAAAAACAATTTTAAGGTGGGGCACCTGGGTGGCTCAGTCATTAAGCGTCTGCCTTCGGCTCAGGTCATGATCTCAGGGTCCTGGGATCGAGCCCCGCATCGGCTCCCTGCTGGGCGCGAAGCCTGTTTCTCCCTCTCCCACTCCCCCTGCTTGTATTCCCTCTCTCTGTCAAATAAATAAATAAAATCTTAAAAAAAACACACACACAATTTTAAGGGACACCAACAAATTAGATAACCTAGATGAAATGGATTAACTTCTATAAAGACACAAGTAAAATGTGCTCAAGAAAAAAAAATCCAAAGCCTCATATAAGCAGAGACTGAATTACTGATAATAATTTCTTTAAAAACTTCCCGGGGGAGCCTGGCTGGCATGCAACTCTTGATCGCTGGGTTGTGAGTTCAAGCCCCACTTTGGGTATAGAAAATACTTAAAAATAAAATCTTGGGGCAGGGGGTACTTCCCACAAAGCAAAGTCCAGAACCAGATGGCTTAACTGGTGAATTTTACCAAATGTTTAAAGAATTAATAACACGAATCCTTTGCAAACTCTTCCAAAAAATTGAGGAACACCTCCCAACTCAATCTCTGAGGTCAGCATTATTCTGATAGTAAAGTCAAACAAAGACACTACAAGAAAAGTAAAACTACTAGTCAATATCCCTTAGGTGCACAGATGCAAATATACTCAACAAAATACTAACAAACCAAATCCAGCAGATTAAAAAAAACAACAACACTTTTCTTCATCTTGTCAATTTTATTTATTTACTTACTTATTTTTAAAGATTTTATTTATTTGTCAGCGAGAGTGAGAGAGATCACAAGCAGGGTAAGAGGCAGGCAGAGGGAGAAGCAGGCTCCCTGCTGAGCAAGGAGCCCGATGCGGGACTCGATCCCAGGATCCTGGGATCATGACCCGTGCCAAAGGCAGATGCTTAACTGACTGAGCCACCTAGGCGTCCCTCTGGCAGCTTTATAAAAGGAACACACATCATGACCAAAGTGGGTTTTATCCCAGGGATGCAAGGCTGGTTTAACATAGGAAAAATCAATCAATATAATACACCCTATTAAAAAAATAAAGGAAAAATTCCATATGATCATCTCAAAAAGATGTGGGGGGGGGAAAAAGAGAGCACTTGACCAAGCCCAACACCTTTTCAAAATAAAAATACTAAAAAAAAAAACCGGCAATAGAAGAGAATTTCTTAAACCTGAGAAAAGACATCTACAAAAACCCCACAGCTAACATCATAATGTATAATGAAAACTACACGCTTTCCTCCTAAGGTCAAGAATAAGACAAGGTTGTCTACTCTCACCACTTTTATTCAACATTTTACTGGAGGTTCATGCATGGAATTAGAAAGACAAGTAAGAAATTCACGTTAGAAAGGAAAAAGTACAACTATATCCAGAGGACATGATATTGTATGAAGAATAACCACAAAAGCAAAAACTAGGTAACTCGACTTCATAAAAATTAAAAAGACCTGAGAAGACACTTCATAAAAGCTAGATGATTGGCCACAAGCCAATCATGAAATGAAATGATGCTCAATATAATTCACCATCAGAAGTGCAAGTTGAAATTAAAATAGACTAATCCACATTTACTTGAAAGGCAACAATTAAAAAGACTGATGAGCGCCTGGGTGGCTCAGTTGGTTGGGCAACTGCCTTCGGCTGGGGTCATGATCCTGGAGTCCCAGGATCGAGTCCCACATCGGGCTCCCTGCTCAGCGGGGAGTCTGCTTCTCCCTCTGATCCTCCCCCTCTCATGCTCTCTGTCTCCCATTCTCTCTCTCAGATAAATAAAATCTTTAAAAAAAAAAAAAAAAAAAAGACTGACAATAGGGGCGCCTGGGTGGCTCAGTCATTAAGCGTCTGCCTTCGGCTCAGGTCATGATCCCAGGGTCCTAGGATTGAGCCCCACATCGGGCTCCATGCTCCACAGGAAGCCTCCGTCTCCCTCTCTCACTCCCACTGCTTGTGTTCCCTCTCTCACTGTGTCTCTCTGTCAAATAAATAAATAAAATCTTTAAAAAAAAAAAAAAAAAAAGACTGACAATAATAAATGGTAGCAAAGATGTGGAACAAACATTCTCATATTCTCCTGATGGGAATGTTAGGTTTTTGGTAAATTTCTATTCAACAACATTTCAGCACTTGATCCAATAATTTTTTCACTTCTAAGTTTCTATCTAAGAGTGTAAACATGTCCACAGCATACTTTTACAAAAATGTTCCTGTCAGGCTTTATTTACAATAGCCCCAAACTGGAAACAGGGACAGAAAAATGAATACTGTGGTGTTTTCACACAGTGGAATAATAATCAAAAACAGAAAACAACTATTATTATCATCAACATGAAAGAATCTCTGACATTATGCTGAGCAATGGCAGACACAAAAGAATACATATTTGATGACACCATTAAAGAGAAATTCTATCAGAGGGAAAAATAATCTAAGGAGAAACAAATTAGAATAGAAGCTGTCTTGGGGAAAAGAAATGACATATATGTGATGGAGTGTGGATCTATTTGTCAAAACTTAAAGCTAAAATCTGTGTTTCAAAGTATGTAAATTTTACTAAAATAAACACCTGCAAAAAGTTTTTATGAACAATACCAACCAGGTAGCAGGAAGTTGGGAGTGGGTGGGGATATAGATCCAAAAGACAGACAAAATGTTAATAAGTACTCAAATACTCCATATTTTTGAACACAGAAAATAACAGAAAGCTCCATTTAAGTCAAAAACTGTCTTCAACCAAACCTCCTCCTAAAAGTTCAGGAAAACAAATTTCACATTAAAAAGTAACAGAAATTAGATCAGAGCCCATACAGTCATAAGCAAAAAAGAGAAACAAAAAGAGACAGAGAGCGCGTGCGCAGAATAAAACCCCTAACTTTTTGGGGTGCCTGGCTGGCTCAGTCGGTAGAGTATGTGACTCCTGATCCTGGGGTCATGAGTTTGAGCCCCACATTGGATGTGGAGCCTACTTTAAAAAAAATAAATAAAATATTTAAAAAAATTTTTTTTAAACCTCTAACTTTCTACAGACAATAAGACTGCAAAAGGTAAGTCCACAAAAAGAGATCACAACTACACACTATTTCCAAGCAAGCTTAGACACTGATACTAAACCATTTAACCAGGATTTGAAGAGAGGGAAACGAATTGAAAGAACACAGAAAAAATTAAAAAAAAAAAAAAATCGTTTCAGAAATAGACAAAAAAGAAGGAACAAAAAATTAAATGAACAGAACAAAGAAGGAATATTTTCGCACATTATAGAAGATTCAAGGGGTGCCTGGCTGGCTCAGTTGGTGAAGCATGCAACTTTTGATCTCAGGGTTGTGAGTTCAAGCCCCATGTTGGGTGAAGAGATTACTTAAAAAAAAGATTCAAGAGAAACTGGTAAATATTGAAAATAGATCAGATACTCAAAAACAAGAGAACTTTCCAGAAATAGAAAAAGTTTGAAACCACTGTACTGAAAGAAACAGACCTGAGAATAGCAAATGTGACGAAACAGTCTGGTATGAATTACTAGAACTTTACTGAACTTTAAAGAGGGAAAAATCCTTTGTGCATCTAAGCCAGATGTAGGCAAACTTTTTCTTATAAAACACGGTAAATATTTTAGGCTTGCAGACCACAGGGTGAAAGTTAAATGAAATTCAAATATCAGTGTCTAGACCATGCTCATTGGTTTCAATAGTGTCTATGGCACTGTATAGCAAAAGCATCCAAAAACAGTATGTAAGTGAATGAACATGGCTGCTGCGTACACTAAAACTGTGTTTACAAACACAGGCAGTCAGCCCATCTGCAGCAGTTTGCAGAACCTTGATGTAGGCATGCACTAAGTGCCTTTATAATTGAAAAAACATTAGACTACTCTAAATTTTTCAATCACAACACTTCATGCCAGACAAAAAATGGAGTAATATATTTAAAATAATCAAGAAAAGAACAGGATTTTATATCCAACAAAGATAACAGGAATAATGGCCACAAACTATTATCAATGAGCAAAAACTCTAGGAATACTGTGCCTTTGGAGCTCTTGCCAAAAAATCAAACAGAGCACATGAGAAAACCAAACTGACTATAGAAATTGCTTAAGAACAAATGGTGAGTATCAAACATACAACATGTAGTTACTCATACAGCAAAAATAAAATGAAGGTTGGAAGGGAGAGCGTATAGTATGTATATTCTCTGACAATGTAAATATATTTGACTATTTAAAGGTGAGGACTGAATAGGAAGAACACAGCAAAAAGTGTATATATGGCTTCAATAATCATATGTATGATAACAGCACTGGCATTGCTATTGTGAGACTGTTAGAGGACATAAATCTAATATTTAGTTTTCTAATTCCAGGTCTGTCATCTGCTGGGTCCTCAGGAACCTAGATACAGTATGGAAGAAGAAGACAGAGATACAGAGGAAGTTAAAATAAAATCCCTGGAATTCGGACTATGGTCAATAAACCTCCCCAAAAAGCAACCATTCAGTTGGACAAAATAACAAAAACCACCATTTCAGTACTCTAGAAATCAACCACAGGCATATAACAATCTGAGAATGCTTATAAAACTGCTCAACTTTGGGTAAGAACATTAGGAGTCTGTGTCAGTCTGGGGCTGCTCTACTCCTGTATCCTCCACCTGCAAGCTCAGATGGTTTGTCAGGCTGAGAGGACTGCCAAATTTGAGGTCACAATAAAAAGAGACTCACATGATTTAAAGCAGTCGGGCAATGACTACACTGAGTGGTCATCGGTATAAGTGACAATTTTGGTATAAGTAATAATTTCTATGGCAGGCAAACTAGGAGGGCCAACAGCTCTAATAGCCTGAAGTTGCAGGGTGTTGGGACATTCACATTCCTGGCTAAGGCAATACACATGCACAGCAGAGACTAAGGAGGGCCCCAGCTATCCACATACTGAATCTTGCATATCAGAATTTCTTTTTAATTTTTAAAATGTTTGTTAATTGAAAGTAAAAAATGACATTAAATTGTCATAATGACTGGTTAAATTAAATGTTTTAATTATATTTATACGCTACCTCTGGTTCCCATTTCATTAAATACTTATGTATGCCCTTTCCTCATTTTTTTTCCTAAGGATCAAAATACTAAAGTTGAAAAAGACTTTAGTTCAACTTCCCCAACCAAAGCAGTAATCTTTCAGGTAGTCTTCCTGTCTAAAGGTAACCTATGGGCACCTGGGTGGCTCAGTGGTTAAGCATCTGCCTTCAGCTCAGGTCATGATCCCAGGGTCCTGGGATCGAGCCCCGCACTGGGCTCCCTGACTCTGCAGGAAGCCTGCTTCTCCCTCTCCCACTCCCCCTGCTTGTGTTCCCTCTCTCACTGTGTCTCTCTGTCAAATAAATGAAATCTTTAAAAAAATAATAATAATAAAGGTAACCTAGAATGTGCTCAAATGCTTAAGGAGACATGAAGTTCACTACTTCCCAATGCAAATATTTCAAAATGTTAAATGAGTTCTAACCAAAAAAACTTTTAAAGTGAACTGAATAAAACCTGCAATACACCATTAATTCCCTTATTTAATAAAGAAGAATTTCTAGGGGCACCCAGGTGGCTCAGTCAGTTATGCATCCGACTCTTGATCTCAGCTCAGGTCTTGATTTCAGGGTCATGAGTTCAAGCCCCGCACTGGGCTCCATACTGGGCCCAGAGTCTACTTAAAAAACAAATAAAGAAAATAAAGAAAAAATTTCTAAGAAGAATTTAACTCCAGGAACTTGGTTAAGCATAATTTGACTTGTTTTAAACCCAAAGCTTGAAAATTTTTTTCATTTTAATACTTAAAAACAAATATTTTTTTTAGTTTGCCAACTATGGCTTAATTTAGAGGAAGATATTTGCATTATTTGCCCCAACTCCTCAAAATAGTGGAACTGTATTTAACACTTCAAAAATACTTTGTATATCCCAGGATCTCAATAAATATTTGCTAATTTAATCTCTTGGCATTTCTTGCAAATTACTAAAATCCTAAAATAAAGGCTCAAATGTCCATGCTTACCTGAATACTCAAACATAATCCAAACAAGCACACTACCAAAGCACTGTAAAATGTATTGTGTTGGTTTTCTATTAAGTTTCCTGTCCACTCCAGAAAACCAACCCTTAACTTACCCTTTTCAAAAATAAAGCACCTACATTTACCTGAACATGGAAAAAATTAAAGTGACATATTAACCAACAGCTGTCCTTTATTAACTACTAGGTGCAAGGCACTGTCCTAAGTGCTTTCTAATATATTATTTCACTTAATCTTTCAACAACATAAAGTAGCATCCATTATTTCCATCTTAGGACGGAGGAAAATGAGGTGGAAAAAATGGCAGAACTGTTTAGGTAACAATTTCCAGGTCATTTCAATAAAAATAACCGACAATGTAAAAATGGTATATTTATCACCAGTAAGAAACTAATTAAAAAGGTACCAATAATTTTAATTTCCCATCAGCCTCTAAAGTTTGTTTTTACTGCTCTTTTCTAAATACACATTCACAAGTGATTTTCCTGCTGAACCCTTCTATACAAAGCCTTAAAATAGGGTTAACTTACAAACAGCTGTGTTTACAAATTGGCAGTTAGGAGCTCAAAATAAAACTTCTCATAGAAATAGTGTTACAAATGGGGATTACAGTTCCAGGGGAGCTCCTATGTCATATTTTTACCCATAATGTAACTGAATAGAAAAACCGAGGGGTGCCTGGGTGGCTCAGTTCGTTAAGCATCGGATTCTTAGTTTTGGCTCAAGTCATAATCTCAGGGTCCTGGGATCTGGCCCCAAATCAGGTTCCATGTTCGGTGGGGAGTCTCCTTGAGATTCTCTCTCCTTCTCTGTCTCCTTCTCTACCCTGCATCTACCCTTCCCCTGCTCTGTCTAAAATAAATAAATCTTGAAAAAAAAAAAAATCTAGAATCTAAACCATTATACCAACATGTGGAAAACTATATTCCATATTTCTACACCAAGCCTATTGACAGTAAAACTATCGATCTCTAGTGCTGGGAAAACTGAGTATCCAAATGCAAAAAAATGAAACTGGATCCTTACCTTACATTATATATAAAAATTAACTCAAAATGGATCAAAGACCTTAAGAGCTAAAACTATAAAACTCTTAGAAGAAAACGGGACAACCGCATGACCCTGAATTTGGCAATGATTTCTTGGATATGACACCAAAGCATAGGCAACAAAAGGAAAAAAAGATAAATTGGACTACGTCAAAGTTAAAAACTTTTGTGCATCAAAGGACACTATCAACAGTGAAAACTTTTGTGCATCAAAGGACACTATCAATAGTGAATAAGATATATGCAAATCATATATCTTATAAGGCTTAATATCCAGAATATTTTTGAAAAACTACAACAACAACAAATCAAATAACCTCATTCAAAAATGGGTAAAAGACTTGAACAGGTATTTGTCCAAAGAAGATGTACAAATAAGCACATCAAAAAATGCTCAACATCACTAATCATTAGGGAAATGCAAACCAAACCACAATGAGATACCTCTTCACACCCACTAGGATGGCTATAATCAAAAAGACAGATAATAAGAGGTGTCAAAAGGATGTGGAGAGACTGGAACCCTTGTGCATTGCTGATAAGAATGTAAAACGGTTCAGTCACTGTGGAAAATGGTTCAGTCACTATGGTAGTTCCTCAAAAAATTAAACATAGAATTACCATATGATCTAGCAATGCTACTTCTAGGTATATACTCTATAAAGAATTGAAAGCAAACAGATATTTGTATAGCCATATTCACAGCAGCATTATTCACAACAGCCAAAGGTGGAAGCAAAAGTGTCTATCAACAGGTAAGTGGAGGGGTGCTGAGGTGACTCAGTCAGTTAAGTATCTGCCTTCAGCTCGGGTCGTGATCCCAGGGTCTTGGGATCGAGTCCCACATTTGGCTCCCTGCTCAGTGGGGAGCCTGCTTCTCCCTCTCCCCTGGCTTGTGCGCTCTCTCTCTCTGTCAAATAAATAAATAAAATCTTAAAAAAAAACCCAACAGGTAAGTGGATAAACAAAATTTGATATGAATATACAATGGAATATTATTTAGCCCTAAAGAGGAAGGAAATTCTGCAATATACTACAACATGGATGAAACTTGATAACATTATGCTAAGGAAAATAAATCAGTCACAAAAGGACAAATAATGTATGATTTCACTTACATGAGGTACCTACTCAAATTCAATAGAGATATAAAGTAGAATAGTGGTTGCCAGGGCCTGGAGGAAGGAAGGGAAAGAGGGCTATTATTTAATAGATACGGAGTTTCACATTAGGAAGAAGAAAAAGTTCAGGAGATGGATAGTGGTAATGGCTGCACAAGATGAATGTAGTTAGTACCACTGAACTGTACATTTAAAAATGGTTTAAAAGGTGAATTTTATGTTCTGTATATTTTACCATAATTAAAAGGGGGGGAACCTACAGATCTCCATCTAATCCCTTTTTCTGAGCCACTAATGATAACGTAAGGTAAAGGTTTCCAAGAGAGTGAGAGATGGGGACTCTGGAATGGGAAAACAAAACCCCTTTTCTTTTTTTTTTTTTAAGATTTTATTTATTTGACAGAGAGAGACACAGCGAGAGAGGGAGCACAAGCAGGGGGAGTGGGAGAGGGAGAAGCAGGTTTCCCGCGGAGCAGGGAGCCGACGTGGGGCTCGATTCCAGGACACTGGGATCATGACCTGAGCCGAAGGCAGACGCTCAACGACTGAGCCACCCAGGAGCCCCTTCTTTTTATTTTTTAACAAACTACACTAAAAAGGGGAAGAACAGAAGTACAGAAAAGGGAAAAAAAAGTACAGAAAAGGGGACTAAGTAAAATCTGCCCTCATATTCTGTTTATATATTTACTACTTATAAGAACTGACAAAATAACCCATAGACCAAAAAATGCTGGATCGTCAGATATACAAAGTACAGAAATATTTCATCTAAGTTTGGGATCAAAAATTTTAGTATTACCTGGTTTTTCTGGGCCTTTCATAACAGGAAATGGAATGGAAGGATAAGTAGGGTTGGGAGAAAGACGGGTTTGGGGGAATGGTAACAAAAATTGTAAAGGAGGGGCTGACCATAAGGTAGTTTGGGAGTAACTGCAATGTTTAGGGAAGAGGAAAAAATTTGCTCTTCCCGCTGCTATGTTCCATCCCGGCACCTCCACCTTCCACCCTTGCTGGCAGTCACAGCATACCATCATCGGGCGGTCCTTGTGGCACCGAACGCCAAAATGTCAGGCCCCAACAGGGACTAAACCATGGAAAAGGTAGAGGGAGTTTATCCCAAGCAACCTGAGCACAAAGAATTCATGGAATTACAAACTACAGCTCTAGAACAGACAGAAAACCTCCTCTAATTGTGGAATTTTGCCTAAAGATCCATTTTTATACATTAACTGGGGTCTGCCTACACAACAAGAAGTTGGGGGAAAAAATGCTGCTACCAGCTTAACAACAATTTAAAAACTGTATAAACTGCAAAATCAAACTTTTCTTGAACCCATCAGAGAGCTGAGGTCATAGGACAACCAAATAAATATTCAAGAAAAGACAAGGATGTAAGCGCTGGCTCACCTGCAGCAGAACAAGGGGAAAGACAGCAGTGCCATAAAAGCAGGTAAAAAGAATTCATCTAATTGTTAATAAATGCCTTAAGGCAAAGTGAGCTGTCATACAGAGTAGTACTCCTGGGAGCCCTAGACCCCATGAGACTCTATATTTGCAGTATTTTTGCCACAGACCTCCGCCAGGTGCTCCCAATATGGGAACATGTGACTAGAAAGAATCTTCTGTAGTGCAGGGCTGAAGAGAAGAGCAGCTTCTACCAGGGAAAAAATATCAAAGCCCTAACCAGATCCTTCTCCCCTAAGGAAAGAAAATTTTAAAGCTGGGGGAGGGGCAGCAAGTCCAGTCACCTTCAGGGCGTAAGTGAAGACATCGTTAAAATGACCGTAGAGTCAAAAAAAAACCCTTCTACCACTATGGGAGGGGCAGGAAAACAGTTTTGGGCCCAGGATCTTAATACCACTGCCTTCAGCTACCTCCTACCACTGAGGCAAGGCTTGAAAACAAGACCTGAAAAGATGCAAGGCCTAATTTAGCACAGAGGAGCAATCACTGACAGAGCCCCACCCCTGATGTCTAGATACACAGGCCTACCCTATATTGAGACTGAACCAGGACAACAAAGATATTCCTGACTCCACCACCAGGTGAACAAGCACAGATTAACACAACTGTAATATATCACTGGAAGAGAATCAGGAGCATCTACAGTCCACACAGAGGCACAAAGGCACAAGGAAAGCCAAAAACCGAGAGTCAATCAGGAAAACTGAGAAACACATTCTCATGCCTCAGTTTCTAGCTAAAGGACAAAGTAACACTAGAGAGGTATGAAATCAATGGTGCACTTAAAATATTCTTTGCAAAGAAAAAAAAAAATCCTTTGCAACAACAAAACCAAAATTCAACTCATCCAGACCCCCTACACTAAAAATCCCGGTCTCTACTCAGTCCCTACTGTGCTATTCATGATATCTGGCATTTGATAAAATATTGCAAGACACACAAAAAAGAAATATACAACCCATTGTCAAAAGACAAAGCATTCAACAGAAACAAAAACCAATGAGTAGAAAAACAGAAAACTCAAAAAACCAAAAGTTGATTTTTAGAAAAGATCAGTAAATTGATAAACCTCTAGCAAGACTGAGGAAAAAAAAAAAAGACACAAATTACAAATATCAGGAATGGAAAGGGGAAAATCAGTACACATCCCACAGACATTATAAGAACAATAATGGAATATTTCAAATAACTTTATGCCCATATATTCAACAGTTTAGATAAAATGGTCAAATTCCTCAAAAAAACATGAACCACCAAAGCTCACACAATAGGTAACCTGATCAGCCCTATATCTATTTTAATAAATTGAAATTATAGGAAAAGTGTCCAACACAGGGGTGCAGATGACTTCACTGGAGAATCCTACCAAACATTTAAAACAAAAACAAAAA